CTTTGTACCAAGAGACAATGTGTGGTTGTATAATCCCAGGAAGATCAAAAGAAGTCTCCAAAGTTGTCTTCTCCATGGGAAAGTCCATATGACATAGTGGACAGTCTGTCAGACGTGACTTTCCGAATAAAATGTGGTCGGCGAGGTAAGCCAAAAGTGGCGCATGCCAACAGGCTTTGGCTTTATCACGGTCCAGGACATTTCAGTTGGGACGAAGTGAACAACAGAACAAATGATGCTTCTGAAGACGTGTCACCTGAAAAAGCCAATGTTGAAGAAGAAGAAACTCTACTCAGTTTTGAGAAGAGAAACGGTGAAGCTCTTGATGAAGTTACTACCACTAATGTGACTGTTACCGATGATAGGACATTTCCTGATGAAGCAGATGAACCCCACGTGAAGCAGAAGCCAACAAGACGGAGACCAGTACAGAAGAAGATACGTCCCGTAAAATTAAGAGACTTTGTTGAATTGCAATTTTGTGTTTGTAATTCTGTACATTTAATTAAGTTATTGTTAATTGTTATTGGTTTATTGTAAGTAGCTATTGTTTGGGACAAATAATACTAAGGAGGGGGCAGTGTTGCATCAGCGAGGTCACATGACTAGTATCACGCAACGTCCTTCTCGAACCTTCGTGAATTGTCGGGAGAGTACTAGATTGGGGATAGTCTGGTATATATAAGATGGTCACAACGTGACGAGAGGTAATGAGTAATTGAATGTATGCGGACATAATATTGTTGGCCACGTGAGACGTGAGTTATAGCGTTGTTATAGAGCGACTGTTGAAATTAAGTGTATCGTAAAGTTATATTCAGAAAGAATAAACCAGTTTTATGTATGAAAGGACTTGTGTCGCTAAAGTTTCGTCGGAACGAAGTTACGAAAAATTAACTAACAAACGGAGACGTAACAATATGAAAAATACTGGCTGAAAATATGAAAATAAATAGTAAGGATTTCTTCTAATACATTAAGGGTAAGCCAAATGTTAGGATGAGAGAAAATCCTTTGAAGGATGACACTAGAAGGGTAAAATGCAATCATTATGGGATGGCTGGGTTATTAAATTCTACTTTTTTCAGTTTTTACTGATGAAGAATTAAGCAATATTCCTCAATCTGAACAGTTGCTAGAAGGAAACAAGGATGAACAAGATCACATTAATTCTGAGCTTGTTAAGAAGACATTGGGAAGTTTAAAGAATCATAAACCACATGGGACAGATAATATTTACCCATGGGTTTGCTATTAGTTTTTATGAGTTCTTGACTAATGTTACTTTTCAAGGAAGGGGATGAAATTATTTTAGTCATTATAGACTGTTTTGCGGCCCGGCATGGCCAGGTGGTTAAGGCGCTCGACTCGCAATCTGAAGGTCGCGGGTTCGAATCCCCATCACACCAAACATGCTCGTTCTTTCAAAGAGGAAAGGCTGTCAAGTGGGTTACATCCTTGACATAAGAAACAGCTTTAGAAACGATGGCAGAGCAAGATCTGCCATCGGCTCAACGGTCCGCAAGGACTATGAGAAGAAAAAAAAAGACTGTTTTGCATCATTGGTAGGAAAAGCTTTTTGAAAGTATGGTAAAAGATCTTTTTCATGGTTTCACTAGAGAAAAATCTTGCCTTACTAATCTTTTGACATTCATTGAAGAAGTTACTACTTATATAGAGGAGGGTACAGGTGTATCTGAATTTTCAGAAAGCATCTGACGAGGTACCAAATAAAAGGCTTGTTAAAAAAGTTACTTTTGTAGATGTGGGGGGATTGGTTGGCTCACTGCATAGAAAACTGGCTAGATGGAAGCAGAACATTGTTATAATGGAGTTCAGTAAAACTGGATTAATGTGACAAATTCGAAATCTCAGGGTTTAGTTTTAGGGCCTTTGCTCTTTTTGATTTACACAAATGACTTATATGAAGGAATGGTCAATAAATTATATAAATTTGCTGATGAAATTAAAGTTTAAGGTTTTGCTGGCTGTGAGGAGGATGCTATTGTCTTACAGAATTATTTGGTGAGTCTTGATTATAATAAATGCAAGGTAACGCATATGGGATATCAAAGAAAGGGATCTTGGTGTAGTGGTTGATCAGTCTCTTAAGCCATCCAAGGAATTTGCTGTTGCTAGTGGCAGGGCAATTAGAATTTTATGTCGTACCTACAGAAATACTGAATACAAGTCTAAAAAGTCTGGGATGGAAAGATTATCATATGAGGATAGGTTAAGATCTCTAAACTTGTTTTCTCTTGAAAAAAGATGAAGTAGAAGGAATCTGATTGAGATGTTTAAAATTGTTAAGGAAATTTATAGTGTTGATGCATTATACTTAATGGTGAGAATGGTAAGACTAATGGAGAAAAAAAAATTTTTTGGCAGGGAAGAAGTCATCTTCAAGAGTGTTTGGCTTCTGGAATGGATTGCCTTCAGATATGGTAGGTGCAGTTAATTTAAGAGTGAGTTTAAAAAAAAGCTTGACAAATATTTAAATGAAAATGGCTGGCTTTGAGATTTTGTTTTAGGTTTAGTGTAATTTAATGGATAGGACTGCCCTTTAATGTTATGTTATTTATTTTTTCCTTAAATTACCAACTCTTTTTCAGTGTTTACATTAAATTTTAGAATTTACCTGTACAGGAAATGGAGGTAACAAAGGAGCTTCTGCCAGCAGCCAATTCTTCCCATGGTTACTCCAAGTACTCCAGACAGGTGGAGAGAGTTGACCATTCCTTACTAAGTGAACAGTCAAGTTGTAGTATTGCATATATGGCCCAAACATACTAAACCAAAACTGGATACAACTGGACACATTCTCCTTAGCTACAATAGGTGGTGAACGAAGCAGACCTTGGTACAGTGTCCAGGAATTGCCAGGACTTTCATAAACAGCATAACGGCCACCAGCTGGTTTGAGAACATACATTTCACAGTTAAGAGCTGTTTTTCAACCCAGATTTCAAGAAAATTTACATATAGTGTAAGAACTTTTAAATCTTTATAAGTTTCTTATGAATTAAAAAACACACTATCTAATCTATATAAAAGCCAGTATGTGTCATGTCACCTCATGTCTCATTTCTCAAAACAGAAAGAGTCATAAAAGCCAAAATGAGAGAATACTTTGATTACTGTCTGCTCATTACAATTTTAGTGACAGAGGTGCAAGGGGGTTGTGTGTGTGAGTGTGTGTGTGTGTGATGGTGGTGGGGGTGCCATGAAACCTTATAAGTATAGTGAGTGTTAGTATAATAAGCCTAAAGTAAAGACATACTGTGGGATCACTTAGCTTAGCGCTAAGTGCATAAAATGTATCATGAAAGTAAAAATATTGATTAACTTTTGAACTTAAATCGTTTCTGAATTAAGCTATTTTCTGTTATATCACCAATGTTTTTAATAAAAAACAAACCTCTTTAATCAATGGAGACACTAAATTGAGAAATCAACAAATATTTTTCCAGTTTTTTGTCTATACATTTCATTTTATACTCTCAGTATGCAGAATAACAACAATACAATATTAGGTTATACTTTTGTTGCTAAGTGACATGACATAAAAGCCATTGTTGGAATGTAGTGTTACCAAAATGCACTGGCTTTTCTATATATTAGAAGTTGTTAATCTAACTGATTTTTTACCAATAAATATCCTATGAATATGCTACAAATTCATTTCATGAATTATCTTAATTTTGATTGGCTCACAAAGGAATTTACCAACACTTGACTGCCTCTTTGTTGGTCAAGCTTGATTTTGGAAAATTTATTTACTTCAGTTAACTATTAAATGTGAGCTCAGGGTATACTATGGGGTGTGGGAAGTAACACTTGCCCCATCATTTTTGACAGGCTAGTATATATATATATATATATATATATATATACTAAAAATACTTTAGAATCTTCTGTATTTCATGACTTGTTATGACATAGTAGTGGGTCAGTGGTAATTTTATAGATTTGCAATGCTTAAATACAGGGTTTGATTCCCTGCAGTGAACATATTGCATATAGCTCTTCATGTAGCTTTACACTAAGAATACAACACCAATCTTATGACTTGGTTAACATTCAACCAGTTTCATGACTTCAAATGTCACTCCTCAGGATGCTATCTTTATATAGAATTTACTAAAAACTTTGAGATACAATTTTTCAACTAAAAACAAATAACGTAAAAAGTTGAAACTGTGTAAAGGTTACAATTATTAAAAACACAGTAAGAGGTATTTTTTACTAAATTGTTAAAGATTTTATATAATAACAGATAAAGTAGAATTGAGATCAAGTTTTAATCTAAAAATATATGTATATATTTTAGTGTATGTAATTTGTAAAAAGATTGTATTTTAAATGAATGAATTTTGAAAATAGGTATTTACATCTTGTTTAGTTGAAAAACTGCATCTTAAGCCTTTTGTTTTTATAATTTTCTGTAAAAATTACATCCTGAAAAGTGTCCTTTGAAGTAAAAAAATTGGCCAAATGTTAATCACATCACATCATAAAATTAATATTGTTTTCTTAGTGCAAAACTACACAATGAGCTTTCTGCAATCTGTCCACTGCACTGACTCAAACCCTGTATTTTAGCATTTTAAGTCCAAAAAAAATTACATTCTACTCACCAGGGGACCATATCATATGAAATCAAAAAATAAAAATGATATGAGACAGAAGTGTTTAAGTATTGTGGTGTTTTAGTATTTGTATCAACAGGTAAAAACTTGTATATGTTTTGGATATGTGTATTTATATATTATTTTCTTATTCTCAAAAAATAAATAAAAATGCCATAATAAAGTTCACAAAATTGATTATAATTTTTCATACATAATTTTTTCTTAAACATGATGTATCTGAGTTTGTTATGTGATAAAAAAGTACATTCTAATCATTGTACGTAAGATAGTTTGGACAGTATATTAATTAGCTATGCTCATTACTGGGTATACTTTGAGTTATGATCTATGTAGGTAAGCTAGTTTGATTAAAAAGTTACAAAGAATTTCAAAATATTTATAATCTGACTAATAATGTAAAACTATCTGTATATAATTTTGACATATTATTTAACTATTTAAAACCCATAATTGTTTGTGAATTCTGCTGTTGATCTGAAATTTGCTTTGAAACAAACAACAATGCTTCATGGAACTTTCGGTATATTTATAAAATGTGGATAATAACATGGTTTCAATTAGTTTGAGCCAAAGAGACTTAAATGTTATCTGATGTTGTCACTGTCCAATGGGTAAATTGAGATTTTTGGAGAGATGCTGGTAGCATTCCACTCGGGTTTAAGGAGTTAAGAAGCTATTTTATATATCACCATCACTTAGAACTCTCATAAAAAATAAAAATTCACACGCAAGCTATAATCTACTGCTTCTGGAGTATAATATTGGGAATACATACACACACATATATATATAACAAGACCTAAATAAAATTCTACAATAAGAAATTATCAAAACATAATTTAATGATCAATACAAGTACATTATCTGTAACATATAAAGTTATAAAGAAGTAAAACACAGTTCTGAATCACCTTTTTGTATATCAGATACATACAATTAACCAGCTATACATATTTAAAACTAAGAACATCTAGTAAATGTTTAAATTATACATTAAAGTCTAAAAATGCAAGGTACTTACGTAAATAAATAATTCAAAACAATCAAATGGTTAATGTTTGTAGGATAACATGATTGTACATCAAAACATGTATACTGTCTGTTCTGAGACAGTTGACAGTCTCAGAATAAAGTTTTTTAACCCTTTTCATATAGGTCATGGGTGAAAGGCCATGTCATCGAGTTTGTTGTCTAGTCATTC